GGCGCGCGAGGAGGAGGAGCACACACAGATGGTCGGCTCGCTGCAGTTCGCGGCGATGACGACGAGGCCGGACATCGCGTTCGCGTGCAGCAAGCTGGGAAGCGGCCTAACAATACGGAGCGATAACCACTGGCGTGAGGTCGACCGCTGTTTGCACTACCTCGCCGACACCCTTGACATCGCCCTGGAGTTCGGCTGTGGACTAGAGTCGTTGTGCCTGGTCGGCTACGTGGACGCCGACGACGCGGGCGACAAGCAGAACCGGACGAGCACGGGTGGCTGCGTGTTCATCTTCGGAGAGGCCGCATCAAGTGCGCGACGCTCTCCTCGACCAAGTCGGAGTACGCCACGGCCACAGAAGCTGGCAAGGAGGCTCGGCAAAGTTCAAGCTGTTGGGCCGTGGGACACCGAATGTCCTTCGTGTGGACAACCAGTCGACCATCACTGTTGCGAAAGGCTTGGGGCTGAAGGGCAACCTCAAGCACATGGATTGACGTTATGCTTGGCTACAGCAGATGGAGATACGCTGGAAGATCGCGCTGAAGTACATGCCCACCTCGGAGCAGCCGGCTGACTTCTTTGACGAAGGGGCTGCGCTTTCCGGCCTTCAACCGTTGCTCCGTCGCGATCGGCCAAGCTCGTCTGGCAGACGTCGGTGACGGTGACGACGATGTGCAGCAGTAGGTGCCATGCCCTTTTGCACGGCTGGTGCGATGACCGGCGTGCTGTATGTTGTGTGCACGCCGAAGGGTTTTCCCTTGTGTACTATCCTTTGGGTTATGGGTGGACCTTGTGCGTAGGGTGCCCAAGCGTGAGTGCGGCAGGGGAGTGTTGAAGGAAGTTGGCCCGCCCTCGCATGGGCAAATCTGACTTCGTGGTCGGGTGTGTGGGAGGTGCAGCCTGCTAAAGGCCTAAATTTGAAATGTCAGCCTTGCCTCCTCCGCGGCAATTCCCAACCTTGGCGTCACGTCGCACACCCCACAATTCGCTCGTTACTGATACCAAGCTAGTTTGCCATTCAACATTCGCTCATGCATTAGCTCAATGTTTTGCTTAGATTATGGAGTCTTAGTTGCTCACTTAATTGCACTAAACTTTTCTAGTTCACGATTTTTTGGAATATGCCATTTGAGACTGTGGCTACACTAGCACCAGGCAGAATTGTCCTTGCGGAACTACACCATATGACAATGGTCCCTTTCATGCGGACAGGTCACAGAGCGCCGCATACTGTATGCGGCAGCGGGGCTGTTTGTGGGTGCTAGCAACAGTACTTGCACGGTCCAGCATATTCTTCTTCTCATCCCCGTTAGCTCTACCCCTCCTGCAGGATTTTAGCCATGGCCGCAACTGGCTACTGTCGTAGCGTAGTGTCGTCCCGCCCCGTCCAAATCTGTCCTAGTTCCTGCCGAACCTGCGCCTGTCACAGGAGCGAATGCAAGTGGAAAACCGCACAGAGTAGGACAGACCTAGGGCACGTTAGACGGACGTCTAGCACCCATGTACAGAAACCGCGATCAGAGCCAGGTTGAAATCAATTGTAAGATGATGATGCGACACGTCCGCCACCCAGTCCTCGCTCGTTCGTCGTCCTACAAGCAGGCCCTCGCTCGCGCTATGTCGGATGCAGTGCTGGCAGCAGCTATGGAGCGCGCTGAGATTTTTGAGTATTATTACTACCTGAGCATCAGATCTTCATTCCAGACTCGTCCACCTCGCTTCTCCGCAATCTTACATCAGTCACTAACATCATGGAGCGCGCGACAACTTCCTCCGTCATGATCCTGCTGTGTAAGCTTTCTCCCATCATCCTGTGTAAGCTGCTATTGCCCGAAAGCGTCGCCTGCCCCCCCTGTTACAGGGCGAAAGCGAACTCGCCACAGGAAAGTTCGCAAGCTGGCGAACTTGTAACCTTCGCCAAAAACCCAACCTAAAAAGTGAAATTCAAGGTTGGAAATCTCAACCTGAAATGTGCGCTTCGGGATTTCTCCAAGCACACGTGAATTCCCAACCAGCAAAGCAGCAGAGAAGAAAGCACAAGAGCATCTTCACGACAGCAAGGCAACAAGTCACCTCATACAACTGTAAATACGTTCCAGCACCTCAAGACCCAAGTTTCTTCATCATGAAGTCGAAGACCAAGTCAGCTAGTGTTATTCTAGAACTATCCCATGAGTGTACTTTGCATATTTCTATATGAACAGCTAGGATCCAGCATAGGATTGTTATCATTGCTTGTACATATCCATTCCTTGCTGGTGACAGCAGAGATAGGATCAATGGCGACCTGAACGGCCTTCTCAAGGCGCCATAGTCATAGAAGTGTGTATATGAGTAGTTGTTCATCCCTTGTATGCCATTCTTGCTTTCTGAAATTTACAGAATTCATGCTACCAATTTTACTTTCTTGATCTAGACTCTCTAAGTTAGCTTTCAGAACTACTAACAGCCTTATAGCTGTTCCACCCCCCCAGAAGCATTCATTTCAACTACTCCAAGTGGCAACTGGGTCGTGTCCTCATTCTCGTACCCTAACCCCCTGCGCGCAGGCACGCCAGGTGTGGCGCTCCTCACTGCGGGCGCGTCTGCATCACTTGGAGACGTCCTCATCCCACGCGATGGCCGCACCTATGCGGCTGCGTCAGCGGCTGCTCACGCCAGGCCTTTGGCATGGAAAGGGAAAGCCATCAGTAAGTGTTGGCAGCTGTTTACCCGTTGCACCGCCTCTGCTTTTTGTGCGAGAACTTCAAGTAATACTCTGCGACCAGCTGTGTGCATCGAGCTGAAGCTCACGTTGAATGTTGCTAGTAACTTACTACTAAGATTAGTACTGCTGATACGAAAAATACTGTCCCTTTCGGAAAACTCGTCGATCATCTTGCAAGGAAGCGTTGTTGAGCCATGAGAGTACTTCCTCCTCGCTTCCGTTCCCTTCCCTGTCATGACCATTCCAGCAAAGTACGTGGCCAAGCTGCGTCCCACAAAGGTCAACGGAAAGCTGGTGGGCGACAAGGGTGCACACGGAAAAGTGGTCTTGCAGGCGACCAGGTACGCCTCTGCTAGATACACGGTGCTATTGCCTACACAGTGCCTCAGGAGGACCCGAGTTGCGCCTCCTTCACTGCTCCTGAAAGAGTACCTCATGTCGTTGTGCGTGCCCCATACACGCACCCATCCTTCTGGCCATGTCCTCTTGGCAGGTACTCGGCAACAACATACTACACCGAGCATTATTTTGGCGTATTCGGCATTAAATCTGGAGGAGGGGGTCCTACTGTGGTAGCTGTAGCTTCCTGTGCTGTCGTTCCCGACCCAGCCCAAGCACCGTCATTTAAGAACATCACAACTGACAAGGCTGGCAAGAAAGGGCGCTACAGCTTCACTTACTCATCTAGCATCGGGCCAGTGAGTACCGCTGTTGATGCTCGTGGAGAGATTGAGAACCTCAAAGGGCAGAAAAAAATTGTGATGGCATTCCATGACAAGAACTCTCGGGCTCTCTGTGGGAAGTTGAAAAAAGTTGTGTAGTAAGTGGCTCACTGCAGCTACTCGTATATTCTCAGGCTTTGAGGTGGCAAGTGTCTGGTTTCTTGCTGGGGTGTGCATGATGAAAGGACTACGTGTTTTTGGACCTCTGGCCCTTTTCCATAGCCACTATGCTTTGTTTGTTAAATTCCTAGCTGGGTTTATCAGAAAATTCCGTGTCGGCCTGAGAGAAGGTTTTAGTTCACGGAATACCATTGCATGCAAAAAGGGAATGCCCGTTTATGGACCCCAGGGTTTACTCAGATAATGAGTTTACTCTCTTTACCTTATCAATATCATCAATCTTGAAATGAAATCCCCAAATCTAAAACCGTATGTAGGGGCTGTCACGTAACGCAAAAATCTAGTGTAGCGTTCCAATCTCCCGCGTTTTGGTCACCCCGACCTGACCTGTCATACATCTGATACAGGTTTCAGAGGTTCGCGAATTGCGGAGCAATCTAGCCTCGGCAAACCGCCAAACCAGGCAGATTCCAATCACTTCATGCGCAGGCATTCTAAATCGTTCCTTTCGTAGCTGTAAGAGCGATGTATGTCCAGGAAATGGCTCTTTATGATCAGGCGTACATCATCTTCTAGGGCGTACTAGTAGTTTCCTCATGGAGTTCGCTCTTCGGTTTAGGGTTCCCGCTGCACTGCTCAGTCATTGTCTTGACAACGCCAACGGCAGCATTGACGGCAGCGGCAACCGCGCCGCTGGATCCGCGAAGGAAGGAACTACGGCTACGATCCAGCAGCCAGCAGCTGCACACGTGGACTATACCATAACCGTTGATCCGCACGAACCTCTCCAATCAGCATTTAACAAGCTGTTTCAGTCTCATCTGCCGCATTGCTGCCTGCCAGCTTAGCAGACGCGTCAGCAGCAGGATGACGCGGATAAGTGCAGCAGCAAGGATGAAGAGAAGCAGGTTGTTCGATTTATGGCTGTTGGGCAAGTGGTGTACTTATCACCTACCGTATCCGCCGACAAGGCCAGGCTTAAATCGGGTACGGTGATTAAAGTCCTGGCAGTGAAGTCGAAATCGTCGACGGGGGGAAATGCTGTGAACACCAGCGGCAGCAGCAGCAACGTCGCAACTGACGCGCTAGTCGCGTCTGATGCGGGCGGCCTACACGCGAAGTTTGAAGACCTATCGCTGGCTTCTGACGTAAGCCTCCAACCCGGGAACTCGTCTTCTCCTGCTCCAGTCTCTGTTCCTGCCTCCGCTTCTGCGCCCACCTCGCTCCCTGCGCCTGCACCTGCCGCCGCACCTTCCGCTCCCCCTGCGCCTGCCGCTGCCATGAGCAACGACACAAGAGCGGACAACAGCACCACTGCCTCTCGCACTGCCACAGGCCCTAACAGTGGCACCAACGGTACCAGCGGCAACGGCATCGGACCCCGCAGCAGCAGTAGCAGCAGCAGCAGGCCGATGGTACACGCAGAGCACGTGGCGCTGGCCCGGCCGCACATGGTGCACTACGTGGACGTGCACCTGCCGTGGTCGCACTCCCTCTGCGCCTGCTGCCTCCCCCGCATGCTCCGCCCCGCCCCGCTCGTCGCCTTCCGCATCTCAAGCCTGGCCTCGCTGCGCAAGCACCTGCAGCAGCCCGTCGTGCGTTCCATGCCGCCTTTCCGCCTCGCCAACAACCCCACGCCGCCCATCCTCGCCTACTCCGCCACCGTCCCGCTCTCCGCCCCTCCCCGCCGATTTCCAGGCTATACCAGCAGCGCAGCAGCGCCGTCATTGGCGCAGCAGTATCGGTGGAAGGTGGACGCGGCGCCTGTGGTTGCAGCAGAGGGGATGATGCTCGAATGGCTGGCAGAGCCACGTGTCGGCCTGCTACTGGACCTCCAGGCGATACGGCGCCAGCTGGCAGAGATCATGCAGATCAACGAACTCGCGGCGGCGCGCAGAGAAGCTAACGCCGCGCGGGGAGCCTCTGCTGCTGCTGCTGCTGCTGCTGCTGCCTCTGCTGCTGCGGCGCCGTACCCTCGCGCCCTGTGGTGGTGCTGCTGGCAGTGCAGCCGCTGCTGGACCCTGTACCGCCGTGCCGTGTCCATCGCTGCTTTCATCGTGCTTGTCGCCAAGTTCCCCCGCTTCGTCATGCTCTGGCGCGCGCACCTGCGCTCTCCTGAGGTGGTCTTTTCCATGATGGCCTTTCAGTTCGGCGCGGGGCGGCAGGGGCAGGGCGACTGCTTGGCGTCGTTGCTGCTGCAGGTGCTGGGAGTGAAGGGGAAGGAGCAGCTGGAAACTGGCTTTGCTGCCCACCTGCTGCCGCTGCTGCCGGGGGGGAGGGACGCGCACGGGCAGGAGGGAGGGGAAGGGGGTAGTCGGAGGAGTGGGGGTGGAAGGGTGGAGGAGTGGAGGGAGGTGTTGGGAGGGGTGGAGTGGGAGGAGTATGTGGAACGCGTGGGGGAGATTGCCGCCCAGGGAGGGCTGGCAGGCGAGCAGTACCGCTGCTGCTGCTCGCAGTGTGGTGAAGGGGAGAGCACAGAGGGAAGAGCGAGCGAAGGGGCCCTGGGAACTCAACCGGTCAGCAGCAGCAACGGTGGCATGGTGATATCTGGTGCGGGCCCCACGGACTTCGCCCTCAAGTGCGGCACTCTCTTCTGCCAGCCGCTGTTCGCCCGGAGTGCTGCTCTCATCTTCTCCGACTGTGCTGGCAGCCGCCACAAGGAGAGCGTGGAGGACGCTGCTGTGGAGGAGGCAGTCCGCCGGCTGGCAGTGGGGGAGGGGAGTGGGGAGGGGAGTGGGGAGGGGAGTGGGGAGGGGAGTGGGGAGGGGAGTGGAGTGCAGGATCGAGGGAAGCGAGCAGTAGATTCAGAAGCACCAGCAACAGCTCCTGCTGCTCCTGCTGCTGCTGGGTCTGGTACAGCCAGTGGGTCTGGTGCTGCAGGCAGCGCCGGCCTTGTACCGGTGAACAGTAACACGGTGGTGGCGCTGTTCACGTACCGAGTCACCTGCCTGCTGCGATGGGTGCGACTCTATGGGTTTAAGGTCAACCCCGAAGACGCCTGCGCCCAGCACGACAGGAAAAACCCAGGCCCTTCGCTTCCCCACCCAATCCACGAACTCCCGAACCTGATGATCAGGTTCGGCGCCATGCCCAAGCCGGCAGCCGCGGCAGGTCTGGAAGGTTCCGTAACAACGGGCTGGAAGGAGTTCCCGGAGGGAAACAGGGCGGCAGTGGCAAAGAACGAGAAGGATCCGGGGGAGTTTATCGGAGTTAAGACCTTCCGGGTGGGGGTGTTTCGTGACGACAGGGAGTTGGACAAGGAGGAGATGAAGAGGGAGTACAACGTGAGGGAGCTCAACATGCCCCAACCGGGTGCCTCCTCCAGTGCCTCCCCCAGTTCCATGGGCACTCTCGAGGACAACACCAGTGGTCCCTTCTTCCCCACGCTGGGCCACCGCGTGGAGGAGTTTTTGAAAAGGTTCGCCCCTGCACGGCTGGCGAGGGAGGGCAGGAACGGCCCTCTGGCCCGCGCCATCACCTCCTGGGCTGGCAGCTTGGATCTGGAGGATCGAGCGTGGTCTGCTCTGGCTCTGGGGCCGTTTGCAATGGGCAAGATCAAGCCGATCCTACGGTCCAGAATCCAAGTGGAGATCTTCATAGAGATGATCGCAGGCAGCATTTCCCCTGGGCCAGCCTGCACGCGCTGCCGGCACTGCATCCGCAGGTACGACCGCGCTGTCACTCTCTCCTCGCTCGTCGCCACCTTTGCCTATCGCCCCTCGTCCGCGCTGCTGCGCTGCATCCTCTCGCTCTTCCCGCCGCGCTCCGCGCGCTTCAGAAAGTTCCTGGGGACTCTGGGAGTGGCGCCCGTCCCTGCGGTGGTCCCGGACTCGCTGGTGGCGCCGTTGCTGGAAGGCGTGATGGAGGAGCATCGCCTGCAGTTCCTCTTCTTTGGCATTCGGCTCATTGGGGAGGAGGGGGAAGTAGGGAACATTCTGGAGCCGGTGGGACAGGACGGAGTGGGGCAGGAAGGGGGGGTGGGGTGGCAGGGCGTGCGGGAGGGGGATGAGGAGTGGAGGATGTGGGAGGAGGTGGACAGCTGGCGGCGGGCGGCTATTATGGCGTGGCCTGCTGTGGAGGGGCGTGGGGAGGCAGGGGTGGATGGTGGCGAGGGGATGGAGGAGAGCTGTGCAGGCATGGAGCGTGCGCTACGGGAGGAGAAGGCGGTGGCGGATGCCCGGAAGCAAGCTCTGATTCAGACTGTTATTGTGGCTGGTGGTGCTGGGGCAGCTGGTGCGCATGGGGGAGAGGGAGGGGGAGGAGGGGAGGAGAGGGGAAAGGCGGTAGCATCGTACCTGGAACCATGGCCGGGGGGGGTGAATCCTCTGGCGTGTTTGAGGGAGATGCTGCTGGGGGAGACCAGCTACTGCCCCCAGGCCAAGCTGGATGCTGTTTCTGCTGCCGATGGCAAGGGAGGCCCACGCGGCTGTGCCTCCCTGCGGTGTGGCAAGGTGGAAGGGGCGGGGGTGCAGCTGAAGCTATGCTCGCGGTGTGGCAAGGCTGCCTACTGCAGCAGGGAGTGCCAGAAGGCCCACTGGCCCTCGCACAAGCTCACGTGCCAGCCCAAGGCCAAGGGGGGAGGCGAGTCGTCCTAGGTGGGATTATGACAGATGGCCTTTTAACGACAATCTGAGCTGTTGGATCTGCGTTTCGCACAATATTGCAAGACTCGCCTGGATATACAGAGGGCCCATGTACGGTAGGTGGTGGGTAGGGCTGAAGGGGCTAGCATTGACTGAGGACTTTCTGCAGTTTTTCATTCTAATTGTGTTTCAAATTACATGTACCCGACCGCACTTGAGACAGCCGACTTCATGAAAAATGAGCGAGCGAGGAAGTTGCATTGTATGGGCAAAAATAACACGTGATTACCGTATTCCCCCGGATATAAGACCCTAGGGTCTTATCCTAAATCCCTAGAAAAAGTTGGGGGGGTCTTCACAAAGGAAAAAAATTTATAATACCCGGGTCTTTTCACAAAACATCCTGATTACCCTGATTTCAGGATGGTGTTTTAAGTTTGCCCTGGAATTTCAGAATGACGCTGGAATTTACCCTGCAACGTCAGGATGATCCATGTGTTTTGCCCTGAAATTTCAGAATGGCAGTGAAAATTTGCCCTGAAACGTTAGGGTGAATGTAGAGGGATGCCCTGACTCGTGGGAAGGGGAGAAGGGGTGGAGGGGGAGAGAGAGAGAGAGGGGAGGAAGGAGGCTGGGGGGGTGTGTGTGTGCTAGTAGTTCTGTCCCCACCCCTCCCCCACCTATGTTTTCGCCCAGCCAGCAGTGAAACCAGTGAGCAACCTGCTCCTTTCTTGCCTTCCCCTCCATCCTCTCCAGCCCCTTGTATTTTTTGCCCTGAATCATCCGGATGAATTTCTGCTGGTGCCCTGAAATTTCAGGATGGCCAGGGAATTTTGCCCTGGAAAATCAGGGCATTTAAGAAAATTTTCAAAAGTTACCCTGAGGGCTCAGGGTGCCCTAAATCCTAGCACAGGCCCTGTTTCATATGACCAATATTTTTTTAGTGTTTTCAACACCACAGTCAATACTGAAGTGCTGGGTGTGCTTTTGGTGAGCACCAACCATGCGAAAGTTGATCGCTTGACCGGTCACATCGAATTCGCCTGTGTCAGTGTAAAATTCGCCCCTCGACGCAGCAATTTCGCCCCCTGACGCAGCAAACTCGCCCCCTGACGCAGCAAATCAACCCCGTGACACTTAAATTCACCCCGCGACAACCGAATTCGCACTATAAGTTGTTTCAGTTTCAAACGAATCAGAGGAAAAGTACATGGAAAAGCCCCCTATAGGGGAAGCGGGGGGGTCTTATATTGATTACCCCCCAAATGGGGGGTATAACGTTTTTTAGGTTTAATAAAAGACCCCCCCCCCGTATTAGGTACCCGGGGGTGTTGTATTTTGGGGGGTCTTCTATCCGGGGGGAATACGGTACGCGGAACGGGACACCAAGGTAACGGTAATACCCGAAAAGTTGGTTGTGCGTACCATCATCGCCCGGATATAAGACATATGTCTTATTGTAAGGAATTTTCGCCATTCCGTACCGTGTTCTTCAATATCGCATACAGCAGCAGCCGTTGTTCGCCCGTTACTGCTAACGGGGCTTCGCCAACTTCGCGCGCACTGTTTCACCAAACCATGCACTGCTAGCCTGTCCAAGTCGGCCTACGCTTCGGGACTAGCCCGAACCTCGATGCCAGCCTAGCACTAGCTAGCTCGCACGCACCGCGTTACCGTTTGCATGTTTTGCGTATAAGTATTGGCCCAAGCCTTCGTTCATACTCTGCACTCGTTCGACACCTAGTGCAATCCTTGTTATCTTGTCCATCGCAGCCATAACACTGGCGAAAGCGGAAGGTGCCTCGCGGAGATGCCTTCCAAGTCTCCGATGGAAGGCGCGCGATAAGCAGGCCCTTTGCACGTGCAACGAGGAACTACTGATAAACGGCACGTTCCGTCAGTGGGCATTTCGTCTTGCGGCCTCCACCTGCGAGGCGAAGACGGCAACCAGCAGCCACCTTCAGACGCCCTTGCATCTTCTTCTAATCGCAGATCGGGCATGGCTGAACCTTTTCCATCTTAGCCAGCTTGTGGTTGGAGAGGTCTGGCTGCAGCTCTTGCATCTTCAGCCAGTAGAGCTTCTCATATGCCGTGTAAGCGTGACGCTCCTTGTTTGTCATGCTGTGACAAGGCGAAGGTGCTTCTGCATCGAGGTTCCTCTTCTTCTTGCCCTGCGGTCTGGTTGGTGCCTGGAACGTCAGAACGTGCACTCGAGGCAGCAAACGGCGATCTTCTTATGAGTTGGAGCTACTTGGCCGCGCATCGCTGTCACTGGTTAGAGCGCTAGCAGAGGGTGAGATGCTTGGTAGAACCGGACGAGGGTAAATCCTAACATGACTGGGGTCTGCATGCGGCTGTCGGCGCCTGAGATGAGCCATGCCAGAATAAGTAGTACCGGTAGACGCCATGCTCATAGTGTTGCGATGAGGAAGGAGCAGCTGCGGGGATTTCTACGAGGGAACGGAGACATTGTGACGGGAAAGAAAGTGCTCCCTCTGAGCGAGCCGAGCACAAATCAGGGATGTGAAGGGGTTTTTCTTTCAATGTGCGAGTCTAGAAGCCTGGCTTCGGTCAAGGCAAAGGTACGTGCAGAGCAGATACGGTACAGAGCTGGATTTCCACCACCACCAGGCCTCAATACAAGGCCCAGAAGGAGGCACAATGCCTGATGTTACGTGACAGGCTGTAGTAGATAGCCACCTGGCAACTTTTTGTCAGAAACTATAGGCAGGAATGAATGAACTAGCAGCATGATGTGTACAAATAGGAAACCCTAATTTGGGTTGTACCCCATATGGGCTACCCCACTACAGCCTACACAATAAGCAACATATATGTTTGACACACCCCCATAGGCAAAGTGGGGGAGAACAAGAGGTCACAGGACCAGTCAAGAAAGGCAAAGCAAGCTCAAGGTGGATCACAAAGTCACCACGCATTCTGAGCCTAAGCAAAGGGCCACAAGGCCAGTTTACATGCAGAGGTATATATGCAACAACACAGTACAGTGATTACTACCTAGCAAGAGCAAGCATGCAGGTATATATATATAGATCACAGTACAAGCAAAGTATGTATACAAACGTAGGCACGAGGCCCAACAAAGTACAAAAGCGCTGATGATCACCAGGCGGAAGTGCCTTGGTGAATCTATTAGCAGTGTTGGCCCTAGTGGCCACGTGAGCAAGACGACGCTTACCACGCTGCTGCAACTCTCGAGCCAGGAAGTAACGAAGAGCGATGTGCTTCGTTCTGTGCTCCAGTCTGTGCTCCTGACACAAGGCAATGGCGGCCTTGTTGTCGACGTACAGAACTGGAGGAGAACGAGGCCTCTCTCCCAAGTCGGTCAGCAGGTAGGTGAGCCAGCGCAACTCCTGAGCAGCCATGGCTGTGGCATAGATCTCAGCCTCACAACTGGAGCTGAGAACAGAAGACGAGCGAGTAGAACGCCAAGAAACAGAGCCAGAGCCAAGGCTGAAGGTGTAACCCTGTGACGACCGCTGCGTAGCCTGGTCGTCAACCCAAGAAGCGTCTGAGTGCCCAGTGAGGACAACGTCGCTCCGTCCTCCAAGCACGAGCCCCATGCCCGATGTACTGCACAAGTAGCGCAGTACCCTCTTAGCAGCAGCCATGTGCTCTGGTCGGTGCCTACCAGGAGCCACATAGCGAGCCAAAAGGCCAAGAGGGTACGCAAGGTCAGGTCGAGTGCAGGTCATCAGGTATATGAGGCAGCCCACTAGCTCTGCGTAAGGACCACTCGACTCTACGGACTCGTCCGAAGGTGGAGCTGAGAGCGAGTGACCTGTAGCAAGAGGAGTGGACTGTGTGAAGGACCAGGTGAAGCCGAAGCGCTGAAGAACCTGCTGCACCATGTGTGACTGAGTTAGTGTGATGGTGCGGCGTGCTCTGTCCCGGGTGATCTGCAAGCCAAGGTAACTGCGCAGCTCACCCAGGTCAGTGCACGTGTGTCTCTTCTGCAGCTCCGACTTCACCAAAGCGAGAGCCTCAGTGTCAGCAGTAGCAAAGACCAAGTCGTCGACGTACACGAGGATGTAGAACGGGTCAGCAGTCGAAGGAGCGAACCCAAGAGCCACAAGTGTAGTCCTCAGTGTGTCGTGCCACTCACGAGGTGCCTGGCGGAGACCGTAGACTGGCCGCCGGAGGCTCCACTGGGTACCAGGAGGGAACGAACCAGTGAAGCCAGGTGGGCGGCGCAGCTAGATCTCCTCGTGCAGGCTGCCCTGTAAGAAGGCTGTGCTGAAGTCAAGAGAGTGAAGCTCGTAGTCACGCTGAGCGGCAACGTGCAGCAGCACCCGAAGAGTGGTCATCTTCGGGGTAGGGGAGAAGGTTTGGAAGAAGTCAACTCCCTCACGCTGACTGAAGCCTCTAGCAACGTAACGAGCCTTGAAGACAGGCGGAGAACCCGACGGCCGCTTCACCCTGAAAATCCACATGCCATCGACGATGTTCGCCCCAGGAGGGGGAACCTCATCGACGTAAGTGCCTGTGGACTTCCAGGATGCCATCTCTGCGTCCATGGCTGCCTGCCACTGAGAGGAGTACTCTCCCGGGATCGCCTCAGCGTAAGAGCGCGGGGTCGGGATGTCTACAGCATCCGGGTCTCCCTCAGGGGCAAGCAGCATGGCCACGAGATGAGGCGCAGCGGTTGCAAGACACTCAAGGTCCTCATGCCTGTCCTCAAGGACGTCCGTGCTAAGAGCACACTCACCCCCGATGGACGGAGGACAGACAGACTCAGACTCAGCAACAAGACTAGCGGCGTAGTCTAGACGACAGGCAGCAGCAAAATCAACAAGCAAGCAAGGCAGGCACAGCAGTAGACTCAAACGACATGTAAGTGACAACAGTGGCTAACAGATGCGTGACAGTAGGGTGCTCAGCACGAAACCGGTCAGACTCAGGGTCCGCAACGTCAGGCAAAGAGGACGCAGGGGGAGACGGCAGAGGAACAGGCTGCAGAGCAGAGGAAGGACGACGGACTACGAGGTGTGTGCCGGGGACAGCCGGCTGACGCGAACGAGGAACACGACGACTGGAACGACCAGGACAAATAAGCGAGACAGGACGCGACGCAGGCTCACGACGCTCAGCAAGACTACCTGTCTGCTCAGTGTAAGGAGGAGGAGCAGGGAGCGGTGAGCCAGGCAGTAACGGAAGACCAGTAGACGACGGGAGGGTAAGAACCTGATGAATAAGAGAGTCAGGCAACGGCAAAGACGACGGAGACGGCGGAGCGAAGAACACTCGTGCGGCGCAGCTGCACCAGCACCAGCAGCTCCAGCAACTCCAGCAGCTCCAGCACCCGCAGCAGCTCCAGCACCCCCAGCACCAGTACCTCCAGGACCAGCGCCACCAGCAGCAGCACCCCCAGAACCGGCACCTCCAGTCCCAGGGTCTCCAACCTCAGTGTCTCCAGCAGCAGCACCCCTAGAACCAGCACCTCCAGTCCCAGGGTCTCCAGCCTCAGTGTCTCCAGCAGCAGCACCCCCAGACGCAGCACCTCCAGCCCCAGCAGCTCTAGTACCTCCAGTACGAGCACCTCCGGGACCAGCGACTCCAGCACCTCCAGTAGACAAAGTACCAGTACGACTCCTAGCTCCAGTGACGTCAGCAGAAGTACCTCCAGCAGCAGAGCCCCGAGCTCCAGCAGCGCGACCCTGACGGCGACCGTACCAGTCGTGCAGCTGCTGTGAGGTGAGAGGCGTACGCGGACGAAGGCGGCCACTCCAAGGAGACCGCGAACCAGCAGTCGCAGTACCCTCAGACGCCGCACCCCCAGACTCAGGACCTCCAAGCTCCTCACGTGCAGGCTCAGCACCCCCAGACCCAGCACCTCCAGGCTCCTCACGCGCAGGCTCAGCACCCCCAGGCGTAGCACCCTCTGGCCCCTCACGTGCAGGCTCAGCACCCTCAGACTCGGCACCCCCAGGCTCAGCACCTCCAGGCTCCTCACGCGCAGGCACAGCACCCCCAGACTCCGCACCCCCAGGCTCAG